CTCAAATCCGGGCCCAGCTACATAATTTGTGGGACACAGTGCAAAGGGAAATATAGACCCCCTTATTCATAAATGATTAAAAATTTCAAAACATAAAGAAGAGCATCAAATTAAAACAGAGCATTAAATCAAGTGGCAGGCCCTTTTGAGCCCAGGATCCTGTGGGACCCTAGAAGCTACATAGACATGAAGCTGGACCTGCTCAAAATAATTATCCTGAGTGAAATAAGCCAGACAGAAAAGAGCATATAATGTATGATTTCATTTACAGAAAATCAGTGAAATTGCAAAGTAATCTGTAGTGAAGGAAAGCTGCTCAATGGTTACCTGGTAACAATGTGAGGTGGAGAAGGAGGGCATTGAAAAAGGAGCACAGGGAAACTCTTTGAGATGATGGATATGTTCACTGTCTTGATTGTGATGGTTTCACAGATGATACATATGTCAAAGCCTATTAAGTTGTACACTTTAAATACATGCACTATATTGTATGTCAGTTATACCTCAATAAAGCTACTAAAAATTGCAAAACATTAATTGGCCTTTGAGAAGGATTTTTTAAAATATAGTTAATGAGGGGTGCCTGGGTGGCTCAGTCGTTAAGCATCTGCCTTCGGCTCAAGTCATGATCCGGGGGTCCTGGGATTGAGTCCCACATCGGGCTCCCTGCTCAGCGGGGAGTCTGCTTCTTCCTCTCCCACTCCCCCTGCTTGTGTTCCTGCTCTCGCAATCTCTCTGTCAAATATTTTAATACATAAAATCTTAAAAAAATAATTAAAATAAAATATAGTTAATGATCTTTGATATGTAGTTCTTCCCCAAGACAAAACATATACAAGCATAAGTGAAAAAAGAAGACAATGTATAGGGGCACCTGGGTGGCTCAGTCGTTGGGTGTCTGCCTTTGGCTCAGGTCATGATCCCATGGTCCTGAGATTGAGCCCTGCATCGGACTCCCTGCTGCACGGGGGGAAGCCTGCTTCTCCCTCTCCCACTCCCCCTGCTTGTGTTCCCTCCCTCGCTGTGTCTTTCTCTGTCAAATAAATAAAATCTTTAAAAAAAAAAAGACAATGTATAATTAACCACTAAAATGAATGACACATTATTAGTACAAACTATTTTATCTGGGGAACAATAAGGGTCCACTATAAGTTGAAGTGGCAGGGAAAGCCACTTGAAAGAGCTGGTATTAAATGCAACCTTGGAGAGTGAATGAGATTTATACAAACAAGAAAGAAGGGAAAATAGCAGTTTGGTAGGATGAAAAGAATGCTGGATTTGGATTAAAGGTTATCCAGATCAGTTTATGGACAATGAATAGACCTGCCTGGTTGGATCACAGTATTTTGGTGACAGATACCGCTAAGAGATGATGTTTGATCAGCTCCCTTGGGCTCAAGTTATAGTAGAAAATTCTGAATGCAGGCTAAGTAATCAGTTTTTATCCTAAATGCAAGGACTACTCTCCATGGACTGATAAAATAAAAGATGTTTCAAGAAATCAAACAAGGTTATATGTAAAATGCTATTCCAAACTTCCTTTGCTGTCAGGACACCTCACTTTGAATTAAGTTCCCTATCTCAAAATATCTCTACCTCCATTTCCTTCATCCTTATCTGAGAAAGAAGTGTCTTTTCTCTTGTTGAAAACTAATTCCTCCATCTGTCTTCTTAATCTCTTACCTTCCCACAGTCAGAGGGATTTTGCTTCGTAAATAACCTATTTCATATGGACAATCAATCTCTCCCTATTTTATGGCACCTGCACTTCAGCAAATAAACAGAACACTTTCTTTGATTCTGTTGTGTCTTGAGAGATATCATTCATTCCCTTGTTCATGCTGACCATCAACCTAATTCTGGCCTTTCTTACTTCTCTCCTAGAAGACAATTGATGTTGTTTTCGGCTGCCTAATTCATCTCTGAAAAGAGGTTTCTTTAACCTGACTTTCCTCCACCAAGTCTTCAGAAGTTCACTGCTGCCTTTTAAAATAGAGTGGTTCTCGACGTTTCTATTCTATCCTTCTCCTGATCATTTTAAGATTTAGTCAAACTGCACAATTCACTTTTCCTCAAGCTTGTTGGTTTGTCCTGCCTCCATGTTCATGGTGAGCCCTCAGCCTGCCTCTTGCAATCTGTCTGTTCGAATCAAGTATTCAATGGTGATTTCTTGCACAAAGCCTTTTCTGATCTCCCAAACAAGTTACATTTTTGACAGCTCTTTAACTCCCATAGCACTTTGTGATCCACTTTTCAAATTTATTTTACTCCGCATGTTGATGGACACATGGATTATTTTCAGTCAGAAGTTACTATGAATAAAGCTGCCATGAACGTTTGTGTCCAAATCTGTGTGGACCTGTTTTTTGTTCTCTTGGTTAAATAACTAGCAATGAAATTGTTGGGTCATATGGTAAGCAAGCGAATGTTGATCTTTTAAAGAAATTGCCAAACTGTTTTCCAAAGTGTTATTCTCTTTAGCCATATATGAGAATGCCAATTGCCCCACATCCTTGCCAACATTTAAAGTATTAGATGTAGTGATATCTCAGTGGGTTTGATTTGCATTTCCCTAAAGACTAATAAGATTGGGTGTCTTTGCATGTGCCATTGTTATTTATATATCTTCTTTGCAATGAGTCTATTCAAATCTTTTGCTCATTTAAAAAAAAAATCAGGTTGTTGTATCATTGAGTTGTAAAGATTCTTTATATATTCTGGATACATGTTCCTTGCCAGATACATGTATAGAGAAAATCACCTTTTAAATGTTGTCTTTGGAACTACAGAAGTTTTATGTTTCAATGAAGTTCTGTCTTTTCCTTTATGACTAATGCTTTTTTGTTATTGGATCTAATAAATCTTTGCCTTCCCCAAGGTCACAATGATTCTGTTTTCTTCTGTAAGTTTTATAGTTTTAGCTTTTATGTTTAGGTCTATGGTGTATGGTGTGAGGTAAGGGTCAAGGTTTATTTTTTCATGTGGATATCCAGTTATTTCAGCACTATTTGTTGAAAAGACATACCTAGGCATCTTTGTTGAAAATCAGCTGACCATATATATGGGCCTGGACTCTATTCTGTGTCATTGATTTGTCTATCCTTATGCTTACCACACTGTCTTGTAAACTGTAGTTTTATACTGTCTTGAAAACAAGTATGTATGTGCCTCAACTTTGTTCTTAAGCATTTCTGTATAAATTTTAGAGCTACCATGTCAAATTAAAACAATATATATTCTGCTGGCATTTGGGGAGAACTGACATTTTAACCATATCATCTAATTCATCTTCCAATTCCAATGGCTTCCAATGGATAGCCATTTATTTAAGTCCTTAATTTCTCTTGGCAGTGATTTATAGCTTTCAGTGTACAGGTCTTACACTTCACAAATTTATCCTTATATATTTCACGGTTTTGGATGCTGATGAGCATTATATGGTTTTATTTTAAATTTCAATTTCCAGTTTTCTTTTCTGTAGAAAACAATTTTTGTTACGCTGACTTTGTAGCCTGCAACTAGTTCCAGTAGCTTTTTAATGGATTCCTTAGGCTTTTCTAATTATATAATGTTGTCATTTGCAAATAGTTTTATTTCTTCCATTCCAATTAAACGTCTTAAAAAATTGTCGTTCATAGTTTTCATCAAATTTAAACATTTTCAGCCATTATTTCTTTCCAGGCACATCTCAGCCTCCCCCCCCACCACACCCCACTGGAATGTCTTCCTCAAAATTATCTAAGTTTCCCAGGTAGGTTGATAGTGGCCCCTGGATCAGGAGCCCAGAGCCCAGATCACAATAAAGGGATAAGTCCTCCTTTCTCTCGCTTGGTGACCTCTCCCAAGTGACTCCATACCCTGAGGAGCTACTGGACTTGTAGCTATGTGGTCTTTTGGTGGTCGTCACCTGCCCAGGGCCTTGTGCTAGTTTCCAGCAGCACAAGCAGATAGCTTCCACAGGCCTGAGCAGAATTTCTTTCGCTGGATCAACGGAGATCTGAGTCACCAGAATGGTGCTAATACGCTAATTTGGGGGGGGGGGACTCAAACTGCTTCAGACCTTTAAGGGATTTATGTGGGTGATTTAAGTGTGGGTTATTTATATGGGTGCTTTATAAGTGTGAGACCTGCATCTCACAACAACCCATGACACAGGTTTATAAATTGTTCCCACTGAGGAAACTGAGGCATAGAAAAGTTTAGATGGCCAAGTTCACAAGCTAGTAAGATTGATGGAGCCAGGAATTTGGGGTTTGAATTTCAGTAATCTGACTCCGGAGCCTGGCTTCCCAACTGTGTGCTTTAAGGGGAAAGAGCAGAGAGCTAATGGGAGAAAGCACGGGTATTTGAAGGAAGATACAAAAGGAAAGGGATAAAGTAGAGAACAGTGGGGTACTTGCCTGCGGGAAAGGGTTCTTGTCAGCCCAATATTTGTAGCTTGCCTACATCTGCTCACACTTTTCTCCTTTGGTATCCTGTCATGTCCTCTTCCCTCCAGCTTCTCTCTAACATCCAACACTACGCTGCATTGAAGTCAATGCCTTTAGAACACTGGCTCCAGGGGAATCCACACAAGTGAGGCAATTCTACTGTATTCCCCTGTACACGCCCCACTGGCCCGCAAAAGTGAAACAGACTGAAGTGGGCGATTCTTCCTTCCCCAGAAGGTCTTAATGCGAACTTAGCGGGAAGATCCTACTACCTGTCCTCACTTCCAGAAACTACCTTCCCAAAGGCTGGGTGGGGCAGGGTCATGCCAAGTCCAGGTGTGTTCCGTCCGCCCCGATCAAATGCACTAGCGAGGGGTCAAGTCACCAGCGCCCAAGACGCCTGGGGCGTCTCACTAAGACGAGGTTCCCCCAGCTAGAGACGCGGATAGCTTTCTGTGCGAGCGGAAACCCCTCAGCCGCCTCGAAACCGTGCCCGGGGGCTCGCGGGATCCCGAGCCCCGACGCCCAGGTCCGGCGGGCAGGTCCCCGCGACGCGCGCGCTCCCGAGGGCCGGGGGCGGGGCGGCCGGGGCGGCGGCCGGGGGCGCCCGCTCCTCCCCCTGCGGGCGGCCGGGCTGGCGGGGCCGAGCCCCCTGCGCGCGGCACATGGGGAGCCTGACGGAGGCGGTGGCCGCGGACGGCGGCGCTTCAGCGGCGCGCTCGGCGGGGCCCCCTCCCACTCCCCTTCCCCTGTCTTCCACCTCCCTCGGGTGCACGGCTACCATGGCGTCCAGCGAGGAGGACGGCACCAACGGCGGCGCCTCGGAAGCGGGCGAGGAGAAGGCGGCCACCGGCAAGAGGAGGCGCCTCGGCTTGTTGGCCACTGTCTGGCTCACCTCCTACAACATCGCCATGACCGCGGGGTACGTGCGCCGAGAAGGGCCCTCTCCTCCTTCCGCCCACCCCGACAGTCAGCGCTCGCGGCGCCGGCTGGGCTGCGGGTGCTCGCGGCTGCGGGGGACAGCAGCGCGGGGCGGCGGGCTGGGCGCGGCGCGGGGAGGGGCGCGGGCGGCGGCCGTGGGGGAGGGGCGCGGCCGCGGGCGCTGGATGCAGCGGAGTGGAGCGGGGCAGGCGGGCGGAAGGCGGGGGGGAGGGGGGTGGCCGGGGCCCTGCTAGCCGGGCATTGCCTAATACGGTGCACGGCGTGGCGCGGCGGCTCGGGGCGCGGGCCGGAGGTTAAGTATAGACCCGGGCAGGAATGCGGGGCCGACCCGCGGGGGAGGTGGCTTCGGCCGGGCCGCCCCGGGCGCCGCTGCCTGTTGCTGCTGCTCAAGAAACGCCTGGGTCCCGCGGCCCCGGAGCTGTCCGGCCGGCGGCCCCCACGGTGCATTTCCTCGCGCTGCAGACCTCTGGGCAGAGTTTTCGGAACTGTTAATGTCAGCACGAGTTTTGATTTTTGATTTTTTTTCCCCCCTGAGCCCCAGAGCTTGGGACGATATTTAAAAAACGCTGCCGTATCAGAGCCTGGCCGTCGTGTCCAGCATCTTTATGGCCCCATGCTTCGTGACTGATACCCTGTACTTTTTTTAAAGATTTTATTTATTTATTTGCGAGAGAGAATGAGAGACAGAGAGCACGAGAGGGAGGAGGGTCAGAGGGAGAAGCTATGTGGCAGGTACTGTGTTGATTATGCTATATGATGTAGCAAAGAAAGAGCCACCTTGTATAACTTGCACATGTTTGGGCAATTTCTTTTTTTTTTTTTTTTAAGATTTTTATTTATTTATTGAGAGAGAGAATGATAGAAAGAGAGCATGAGAGGGAGGAGGGTCAGAGGGAGAAGCAGACTCCCTGCCGAGCAGGGAGCCCGATACGGGACTCGATCCCGGGACTCCAGGATCATGACCTGAGCCGAAGGCAGTCGCTTAACCGACTGAGCCACCCAGGCGCCCCTGATACCCTGTACTTTTATTTCTGACTTTGAGTGTGACTTACAAGTTAAGGTTACACAATGACTATCGCTCTTCAAAGAGCTGTCCAAGTGACTTGTGTGTCGACTGCTTGTCAAGACCTGTTGGGAAAATGCTCTTCTGTTTCTAAATTGCACTGCCTTTTTAAAAAAGCTATTTTGTTATTATCACATGAAGTATTATTAATCTATATAAATGTGGCGGAACGTTTACTATCTTAAACTTTCTCTGGGGCTTATAGAAAAGAATAAATGGTTTGACCCAGTACTGAGTACCTATTACGTGTTTAGTGTAACCCTAAATACCAAATACAGTTCGCAAAGAATACATTTATTGAGGATTTGCTATGTGGCAGGTACTGTGTTGATTACTTTAGATGTACAATCTCATTTTTAGTTCTCTACCATCCTGTGAGGGATACATGATATTACATTTGACAGATTAGGAAACTGAGGCACAAAGAGGTTAAGTAATTTGCTCGAGATCATACAACCAGCAGGTGTCAAGACTCGGATTTCAGCCTAGCCAGTCTGACTCCAGAGACATGCTACTTCTTTGCCTTTACGCTTTACTGAATTTTATAATCTCGTAGGAGAAAAATAATATATTCAGAACAACTAGAGAACAATTGAGTACCTACCATGGGCTGCTATCATTAGCTACAGTGGGAGCTGAGAGAATTCTCTCCCCTGTGATAGTCTTACCCAGTTTTTGGAACATTTTTGGAATACCTGCCGTTTGTTAACTGGTATGCTCTCCCTTTCCTTTTCAGTCCACTCTCCCTTTTGAAAACCAGGTTAACCTTTTAAAAGTGAAAATCAGTGCATAAGTCTAGTTTAAAGCCTTCAATGACTCCCTATTACCTCCACTGTAATCTAAGGGATTTAGGCTGTTGGTCATTCAAGGGCCTTTGCAATATGCTCCCTGATTCCCCTTTCCAGTTTTATTGTATTTGAAATCAACCGTAACCCATAATGCCGGCAAAGCACCATGCATTTTTATTTTCACAGCTCCCTCCATTTTTGCTCAGGCCATTCACTCTTTGTATAATATCCTCCTTGTTCCTCATATGATTTCTAAATCAAGCGATCCTCTTTGAAGGTTTCCAGGTCTTCTGCCCCATCTGGAGCAGAATTAAATGCTCCCTCCTTTGTGTTCTCACACTTCATTCCTATCTTTCCTACCTGCCCAGCAAATTACCCCGTATCTGAAACTTATCTGTCTCCCTGCCTATATTGGGAAGGTCCCTTGTCATTTTCCCCTCTGTTTAAAAGCAAAGGTAACCAAAATGGAATAATCCATGTAACCCTTGGGAGGCTTTTAGAGGCACTGAGATTTGAAGAAGGAATAGAATTGGCATATGTGGAGAGTAGATATTTCGAGTGAGATAAATTCTAGAAATAGGCATGAGATGCAAGAAAGCCTGGTATATTTTCTTGATCTAATTGGAGGGTGGTGTTGGAGAACAGAGGTAAATAAAGTTGTAGTATGGAAAGTGGGACACCAAGGTATACATTGAAAAGTACAGATAGCACAGGGTTAGCTGAGGTTCTTTTTGTTCACTTAATTTGTTTTTCTCTTTTAGCAGAACTTTGAAGTATATTAAATTTTTGTAATAGTTTTGAAAACAATAAAATAATAGATAAGTATTTACATAAATATAAAAAAAGAACTTGCCTAATTTTATAAGCTTAGCATGACCTTTTTTCTTATCTTTTATGTGAATATCTTCATTCAGATAGCATATATCCCCATTATGCTATTATTCCTCTTGCCTGCTTTATTTTTCTCATTGCACTTATTGCCGTATAACTGTACAACGTATTTTACTACTTCGTATTGTTGCTTATTGTCTGTCATGCCCCCATTAGAGTGTAAGCTGCTAAACTCATCTTATAAGCATTGCAGTTAGGGTATCTGCTCTTTATATATTCTATTTTCACCTAATATCCTACCAAATATTTCTGTATAGTTTTCATAAAAATATTCTTTCATGGCTACATAAGAGTGTATAGATTTAATGTACAATAACGGATTAGCTCATTCCTCTAATGACATTTTGCTTTTATTTGTATCTGTTAAATTAGTTACTTAGGATGAATTCCCCAGAGTAGAATTACACCTTTAAAGGATGTGAGGATTTTTATGGTACTTGTTCATAATAGGTATTTGACCAGAGAAGTATTTCTCCCTCTCTCTCTCTCTGGTGGTTTTTTTTTTTTTTTTTTTTTACTTTTTCTTTTCAGGACTTTTGAGCCCATATGTGTCAAGTGCATTGTCCTTGGTCAAATGAGAGACATAAGATAAATATTTTAGGCTCTGTCCTTGAAGAAGTATAACCTGGGGGCATTTATATATTGCAATAAAAGACAGAATGAGTTAAGTGCTTGACAGAGGTGACAGGTCAGACAGGTAGGGGGAATCAGAAAAAGCTTTGTGGTAGAGATCATAGCATTTCAACTGAGCTCTGAAGGATGAGTAGGATTTGATAGGCATGGATGAGGAAACAGCATGAGTTAGGGTACAGAGATGTGACATTCCTAGACATGTTGTTCAGGCAATAGCAAGTGGGCCTGAAGGGTAGGGGGAAGATGAAGCTCGATGGGGAGCATGGACCACTGCACAGGGCCTTAAATGCCTTGCTAACATGTTTGGATTTTAATCTGCAAATAGTACAATAAGGTGTTGGTTAGAGGCTATGCTTCACTCCTGTTTTGCTGGGTAGCCTCAGATAAGTTACTTAAACTCTCTGACCCTGAGTTTTCTTATCTGTAAATTGAAACAATACAGCTCCTTTACTAGATTATTACAAAGAATAAAAAGATCATGGATATGAAGTGATCAGCAAGGTGAATGATACCGAGAGAGAAACTACTTAAGATAATTTCAGAGTATACATAGTGTGAGTTATTAGAGCACCAAACCCAAGGTTCAGGCATATACATTTCCCAAAATGTTAAGTAACAGACATATATTTTATCCCTGAGGAGGGTAGATCCATTGTATGGATCTTGTTTATCCAGCTTGTTTATCCATTTATCTGTTGATGGACATTTTGGTTCTTCCCAGTTTTTGGCATGACAAAGCTATGAATATTCAGGTACAAGTCTTTGGACATATGCTTTCATTTTTCTTGGATGAATATCTTTGAGTGGAATGGCTGGGTCATATGGTGGTCGCATTCTTGATTTCTTAAGAAACTGCCCAAACTTTTCCAGAGTGATTGTACCATTTTACATCCCCATGGGCAATGAATGAGAGCTGCTGTATATCCTCACCAAAACTTGGTATGGTCAGTCACTGTAATTGTAGACATTCTAATAGGTGTGTGGTGTTATCTCATTGTGATTTTATTTTGCATTTCCCTAGTGACTAATGACACTGAACATCTTTCCATGCATTTACTTACCATTTGTGTATCTTTTTTGGTACAGTGTCTGTTCAAAACTTTTGCCCTTTTTAATTTTTATTTTTTATAATTTTTTAAAAGATTTTATTATTTGACAGAGAGAGACACAGAGAGAGAGGGAACACAAGCAGGGAGAATGGGAGAGGAAGAAACAGGCTCCGCACTGAGCAAAGAGCCAGATGTGGGACTCTATCCCAGGACCCTGGGATCATGACCTGAGCCAAAGGCAGATGCTTAACAACTGAGCAACCCAGGTGCCCCATTTTGCCCCCCCTTTTTTAAATGAGGTTGTTTGATTTTTCTATTACTGAGTTCTGAGAGTTTTTTATATAGTATGGATATAGGTCTTTATCAGATATGTGATTTGTAAATATTTTCTCCTAGTTGTGGCTTGGTTTTTTTATTTTCTTCACAGTGTCTCTCAAAGAGCAGAAGGTCTTACTCTTAATGAAATCCAGTTTATCTGTTTTTTTTCTTTCATGAACCTTTCAGCTTAACTCCATTGGCTTGAGTGTCTATGTGCAGTACCTTGAAACATATATTGGCTGCTAAATAAAAGTTTCAATTTAGTCTAGGAAAGGAAGTTTAGAGGTGTCAATGAACAATATATGAAAGTATGGATGGTGTGAATGTCGAAGACCATCTCTGGGACAAGCCTCCGCAGGGTTACTTTATCGGAGGTGTCAAGAAGAAATGATAACATTAGAATATCATCATTTTTCAGTAATGCTGAAATAATGGCTCTGGGCAATGATCAGCAGTGAGTGCTAACATCACAAACAAAAGGGACGACCAGAAATTATGTGCTCTTTAGGGAAGTACACAACATAACTTAGGAATTAGCCTCGAATGTGAATCTGTCTGATCAAGCACATGGACCTGTCAACTTCACAGGAAATACAGGGGACAGAGAACATAATAAATGACATGTGGGTAACCTTGCAAGACAAACCACTCAGTGTTCTCGACAGACGAATTTCACGAGAAAGAGAGGGAAGGAGAGATGAATGGGTAGAGGGAGGGAGGGGAAACCTATAGATTAAGAGTCATGAAAGACACAGCAACTAATTACAACATATGAACTTCATTTCAATCATGAATTTTAAAAATTATGAGACAATTGAGAAAATTTATATCCTGCCTCTATGTTTTGTGACTGAAGATTTTATTTACATGGGATTGTGGTATTATGGTAATGTTTATTAAAAGCAGTCCTCTTATTATGAATCAAACTATAGAAGGTATGAGATTTCCTTCAAAGTAATGAGGGGAGGGGATGGTGAGGAGAGAAGCAAATAGAGGTTTGGATGATACAGGATTGTCCATAAGATGATAATGCTTGAAGCTGGGCAGTGGGCTCATGGGGGTTCCTTATACCCTTCTCTGTATCATTGGGTATATGCGAAGTTGTTCATAATTAAAATCTAAAAAGAAGTGTTGAAATAAAAAAAGAAGATACAGGTGTAGATAAGCCAAGTTCCCTATGGAGCAGGTTGTCTCCAAGAAACCTCAGGAGGAAAAGAAAGAAGCACCAGAGACAACCAAAGAAAGAACTCCTTCAATAAGATTTTTCAGGGTCATCATAGCGTAGTGACATGGCAAGAAGGCCCTGTGTTTAGTGAGTTATGATTCATACCTCCTGTTACAGCACTATTTTGTTTTCTCCAGTTAACTAATTTAATAGTTCCTTGAGGCAAGGTCTAGGTCTTATTTATTTCCCAACATGTAGCACACTCCCTGGCTTAGCAATAAATGTTGAACGTGAAGATGAATGAATAAAGAAATGAATTAAGCTAAAAAGCAAGCAATCTTTTACATAGAAAGCACATGTTTATATATTTTCCAAAAAGAGTACTTTCTCAAGGACTGAGCATATCCATCTGGGTTCAAATTTAGGTAATCAGTCGCTCTGGCCTATTTTTTAAAAACAGAACCTTCTAGAAAATAATTCCAGGGGCGCCTGGGTGGCTCAGTCGTTAAGGTCTGCCTTCAGCTCAGGTCATGATCCCAGAGTCCTGGGATCGAGCCCCACATCGGGCTCCCTGCTCGGCGGGAAGCCTGCTTCTCCCTCTCCCACTCCCCCTGCTTGTATTCCCTCTCTCGCTGTTTCTCTCTCTGTCAAATAAATAAATAAAATCTTAAAAAAATAAATAAATAATTCACAGTTGCAGAAGCTCTACTTGCTTTTGCATTTTTTTTTTAATTACAATTACTAAACCGATGAATGTAGGAAGTGCAAATTTAAATGTAGGGCCCCTATGGGAGACTTTGTCATCCCATTGTGATGGTGGGTTTAGAAAGTGAGCACTCATTAGTTCAGATAAGTTTCTGGCCACAGTGACTGAAAAACAGTTGAGAAGTTAGGATAGATGGCTCCATGGTCCTTTCTCACCCCACCCAGAGTGTTAATTTCTTTTATTTCCGAACAAGTTAGTAATCAGTAAGAGCCTAATACTATATTAGGTGGTACAATACTGCCACCTATGGAACAACAGTAAAATTTGTTACCATGTTATAATACGTGGATTTTTATATCTTGCTATTTAAAAATGTAGAAAAGTTGCCATCTAATGAATCCTTTGATGAATTCTTTGGTAGGTTAATAATTACCTCTTAACATGATCTTTTGTAAAACTCTGATTTGGATTTTCCTTAAAAAAAAGAGAGAGACAAGTGTATGAAAAATGTGAATGTAAACATCTTAATATGTTTTTTGTTTTCTTATTGTTAGTGTAGGGACTTAGAATTGAAGATGGTGAAATCATAATATTTTAAACCTAGAAGGCATATAAAACATCACCCAGATTAGCCCAGCACAGAATTCAGCATTGACCCTCATACGGGATGAAACCATCAGTTGAATCCAGTAAAGGCAGGGTATCATGGAGAGAGAATAGCATGGGGCGTTGGGAGACCTCAAGGGGTCTATTTCTACCTGGACTGTTGACTTTAAGACTTAGGGCGAGTCACTTGACACCTCTGCATGGTGTCTGTCTCATCTATAACAGTGGCCCTCAAACCTTTTTGATAGCATACTACTATCGGTTAAAATATTAGAGCATAATTCTCTCTATAACTTTTAAAATTTACTTGTAATTCGGGGCACCTGGGTGGCTCAGTCGGTTAAGCGGCTGCCTTCGGCTCAGGTCATGATCCTGGAGTCCCGGGATCGAGTCCCACGTCGGGCTCCCTGCTCGGCAGGGGGTCTGCTTCTCCCTCTGACCCTCTTCCCTCTCGTGCTCTCTCTCATTCTCTCTCTCAAATAAATAAATAAAATCTTTTTTTTTTTTAAGATTTTATTTATTTATTTGAGACAGAGAGAATGAGCTACAGACAGAGAGAGCATGAGATGGGGGAGCTTCAGAGGGAGAAGCGACTGCCTTTGGCTCAGGTCATGATCTCGGAGTCCCGGGATCGAGTCCCGCATTGGGCTCCCTGCTCTGCGGGGAGTCTGCTTCTCCCTCTCCCTCTGCCTGCTGCTCCCCCTGCTTGTGTTCTCTCTCTCTCTGTCAAATAAATAAATAAAATCTTTAAAAAAAATTTACTTGTAATTCAAATATACCAAATACTATGATTAGCTAATATCCCAAGGCACAATATATACCTAGAGCCAGACCAGTATAGCATCGTGGTTCAAGGGCATAGACTGAGCTCAGCAGTGGGTTTACATCCCGCACTGCCTGGCTCTGTGACCATTTCTGCCTGTTTCCTCAGCAGTAAAATAGGATAATAGCAGTCCCTTCCTCACAGGGAATTTGTGAGCATGAAACATTAATGTTAAATGTGCATTTAGAACATTAAAAGCGTTCTGAAAGTACATATGTTATTATCAGCGTTGTTGGTATCATTAACATTTCCATCTTTGGAAGGTCTTGCTGATAATTTCAGATTTTACCTGACTTCCTGTCACACCTCAGAGGAATGTACATCCCTGCTTTCCCCTCAGTGTGTGCTGAGGAGGAGTGGAAGTGCCCAGAGGAGAAGCACAAGCCTCCATCTTCTTCCGTTGACCTTGTTGACCATGTTCATCGTATTCAATCAGTAGTTCCTTTGTGGGGAATCTTTAAAGCCATTTGTCCTTTTTAAGAGTACTCTTTAATTAAAAAGTTAAAGCCATATAATAATGTTATCATTCATAAACCCATGTAAGTAGACACTTTGGAGACCATTGAATTAAAAAAGCCTGGAGTAGCTACTCCTTTCCGTGGGTGGGTTACTAAAGATTTTAAAAAGTTACAGATGGCGTAACTTTTTAAAACTTAAAAGTGCTCTTGTAATTGTGAAGGAAGCTGGAAAAAAATGAACTCTCATTAGTGTCTCTAGCAGATTGAGTGTATGGTGAGAAAGCCGGTCTTCGCACGTGCAGCTTGTGTGTGGAGTGCTGGTCATTCACGGCACACAACCTGTCGCATAGAAGTAGAGCTTGAAAAGGCAAGGTATATGTATTTTGTGCTTTTTGTGAAACAAACTCTTTGAAAGCAGGCCCATATCTGACCTTCTGTATGCCTTCTGTGGCACAACAGTTGTTATTATTTAGTGCAAATTCTAAAAAAATTATTATGAAAGATTTTTACTTATGCTTACATATAAATATATACCATATATTTGTATAAATACATACACACTCACAGGTTTTTACCTTAAGAAATACTTATATAATTATGAAATGCTTTATAATAACCACTTCTTCAGTCTGTCTGAAACCAAACATGAAAGAGACATTGTTTGACATTTGAATCTAGTTGATCTCCAACATGTTCTATTCATCCCCTTGAAGAGTCAATGTAAAAACAATGCCATTTCTTCCTGTGGGTTTTGTTAAATAGAGTGATGAACTGAGAACATAATAAAACAACATGTTACTATATAAACTATGTCATTTATTTTCAGGAAGATCCTTGGTATTCATTTTGATAGAACTTTATGAAATACTTTTATTTCTTCTAGGTGGTTGGTTTTAGCTATTGCCATGGTACGTTTTTATATGGAAAAAGGAACACACAAAGGTTTATATAAAAGTATTCAGAAGACACTTAAATTTTTCCAGACATTTGCCTTGCTTGAGGTAAGTTTTTAATGATGCTGTTTTCCTATTGTAATATTTATTTGAAAAATTATTTGTTGAGCAAAATCAGCCTCATTTTGCTGATGACATACCACCTATGGATTTGTAGAAAACCAGTGTTTGCAGGGATTTATATTATGTTGCATGCTATTGACTTGTGATTTTTTTTATTTGCTTACAGATAGTCCACTGTTTAATTGGTGAGTTTCTGATTCAATTTTTATTGTCAGTATAAATTGCCTTTAGGGCAATGGTTGACTTGTTTTTCTCTTTAAGGAATTGTACCTACTTCTGTGATTGTGGCTGGGGTCCAAGTGAGTTCAAGAATCTTTATGGTGTGGCTCATTACTCACAGTATAAAACCAGTAAGTGACACTAACAGGTTCTCTTCATGAGCCTGCAGGAAAGCTTTTTTATTAATAGGAATCTAAAATACTAACATTGCTATATTTCAGGAAGCAGAACCACTAGACAAAAAAGGGGCTGGGTTTGGATTTAAGTGTGATTGTACATTGACTTAGTGCATTAGTAGAATGACCTTGAAACACAAGCAAAACTAAATATTTATATCCATAATCTATTCTCCTCTGATGTTTCCTAGTTTTTAAAATTGATATTCATATTCTGTCAAATAGTTAACTGAAAATTTTCTATTGATGTGTATTCTCTTTGATTATGTATTGAAGTCCCCACTATAAACGGTGTTTTTCCTCATTCACCATGGAGTGTTGTAGCAACAGGTGTAAAAAGCAAATATAGTTCTGTAGATCTGAGCAAATGGGAAAGACTAAATGAAAAGTTGGAAGGGCTGGGGAGCTTAGGGGAAATTAGCATATTATTTATTGAGGCATGACAGGAGGCAGACCTGAATCTAATTAATGGCTCAAACCCTTCTAGACAAACACACACCACACTCACTATGTCAAGACACTGGGCCTTTTAAACCCATGACAGAAACATTTCCCAGATGGGCCCTTCTGACCTTCTGACAGCCTCCGGTGTCTCCTGGCTACCTGAGGACAGATCTCTGGCCTTCTTTCCATTCCTGAGATGCCTTTCTTGTCCCTCGTCTGCTTGAAATGATACCTTCACTCCCTTCCCTTGCCTGTGAGACTCACTGGCCCCCGTCTGCACAGGGACAGATCACTGCCCTTCTGCTCTCTCACCACTCTGCCCATTAGCCTCTCCAGACCACCGTCTTTCATTCAACTCCCTCGGTCCACCTGGCCCCTCACCAGGGACTGCTGTGCACTTAGCAGTGAGTGCAGGCCACGCGGAGAGCCAGACTTTGTATTCAGATTGCCGTGTAGTTTAAAAGCAGGAGTCCACCATAAGCAGAATAAAAGAAAGACTGTTCCAGACAGTGAGCGAATATAATAGCCGGGCCGGGACTACAAAGAGTCTGAAGACTGAGGAAGAAGAGAGACCAGACAGGGTGGCCAGCATCAGCTGTGGAAAAGAAGTGAGAGAGAATCTAAAGGGTTGCTAGCCCCCAAGAGAAAAAAGACCCATCTGCTCTTTTTTATCCTCCAAAGGATCTCTGTCTTAGTCTTACTATTTAATTTTCTCCAACAAGAGTTTCCTACCAGTACCTTTCCACCCCTCTTTAATTAATTCAGCCAACATTTACTTCTATACATTTGACATTGTGCTCATGTCTGGATTTACAAAAATGGATAGGGCCATTCCAGCTATATGCGTACTGGTTGTTGGGAAGTGGGGGGCAGTCTTATAGATGTCGAATCATTCAACAAATACTAATCGCACAGCTGTTCTACACCTGAGACTTTGCTGGGGATCTGGCAGTTAATACAAATATAGTCCCTGCCTCGTGGATCCTGTAACTGGGAGAGGTGGTAAACAAGTAGTTGCACAAATACAGCTGACCTTGAACAACACGCGTTTGAACTGTGCATGTTCACTCATACATAGAATTTTTTTCTTTTTAAAAATTTTTTTCTGATAAATACAGTACTATGTGTATTTTCTTTTATGATTTTGTTAATGACATTTTCTTTTCTCTAGCTTGCTTTATTGTAAGAATACAATATATAACATACAACCTACAAAATATGTGTTAATCAACTTTTTACAGGTTATCGATAAGGCTTCTGGTCAACAGTAGGCTATTAGTTGTTAAGTTTTGGGGGAGTCAAAACTTACATGCAGGTTTTTTGACTACGCAGCGGGGGTTGGTGCCCCTAACCCCCACGTTGTTCAGGGGTCAACTGTAATTGTTTCATTATGTTAGTGTTAGCGCTTTGAAATAAGAGTATGTATTACCATGTACCTGGGGACTTAGCCTGACCTAGGGAGGGAGGGCAGGCTTACTCGAGGAAGGAATGTATAAGGAGAGCACTGATGCATACACAAGAGTCAGGCAGACAGACTTTCATACAAATCGGCAAGTGTTATAATACAGATATGAACAAGGAAAGTGAGCAAATAACTGCTCAGGGCGAAAGGAGGGGTTTGGGAAAAGTTTTCCAGAGGGCGTGATGCTTTAGCTGGATCATAAAGGGTGAGAAAGGGTTTCCTGCAGGAACTAACAAGGGAGTGAGTAGCATTCTAATTGGAGGGAATAGCATGTGTTAAGATGCAAACGTTCAGAGCATGTTCTGGAAATAATACTAAGTTGGTGTCACCAGAGAGAGAGATCTGGTAGTGGGAGGTTGAGAGATTGCAGATGAAGTTGGGGAGATTCCTGAGCTCCAGATTGCAGAGAACCTTGAATACGATCCTTTTCTTCTGTTAAGCAATAGGGAGCCAAAGAAGCTTTTAAATCACAGAATCACTGCTTCCAAATGTGTTTTTGTTTGTTTTGTGCTTAAGAGAAGACGTCTGTTCATGAAGAGAATAAAGAGTGGAGAGGCTATTTAGCAGGCTGTTACAGTAGTGGGATGGAGATGGTGAGGCCCTGAATTCAATGGTGGTCACAGGACAAAAGACAAGTGGACATATGCAGTAGCTAGTGCTCTAGTAGGATGGGTACCCTCAGACGACCCATAGTAAGTTGGAGAATCAGATTGTTCCCACGCTGGTTTTGAGGGGGTGATGTTGTCACGGGTTGGTTGAGTTAGCGGCCGGAGCAAAGGCTGAGAAAGAGAAATCAGTAGAAATGTGACCATTCCTGTGCCTAGGACATATTTGTGTGTTGTCATGAATTATGCAATGGTGACAGCGTTAAGTTTTCTGTCTTGCCTCTGTCTGCCCCTGACATTCCAGTGTAGTCAAAGACACATAGTAAATAACTAAGATATCTTCATGGAGAAAAATGTTGAAGGTTAAACCACACTGTGGGTTTCTCTGTGGTTCTGCAGATCCAGAATGAGGAGAGCGTGGTGCTTTTTCTGGTCGTGTGGACTGTGACAGAGATCACTCGCTATTCCTTCTACACATTCAGTCTTCTCGACCACTTGCCATACTTCATTAAATGGGCCAGGTGGCGATGTCTTGCTGTTTAGTTTCTCACTAGTGCATGCGTGTTGTGTGTGCTGAGCTAACACCAGAGAAGGAAAATTTGTGTCTTAGCCCATGATGCCAGGATGCTGTGTTTTTGGCTATTAGCAGTGCTATAACTTGAATTCTAAAAGCTTAATTTAATGATCAGAGAAAAATCACATTAATATATATTTTGAGTAAAACCAATGCCAGACAAGTTATATCAGTATCCTTACATAACATGAATTGGTCATTCATTTCTCTTTGGAAGCAAAACTTATAATTTTTTTGAATTATATTAAATTCTGTGCCAAAAATATGGCATTTTTTTCTGAATGATTTAAATTATTTTAATAATCTAGTATCCACAATTTTTAGTATCTTATGTATACAATCTCAGTTTCTTTGCAGAGATAGACATTTTTGAAAGTCACACTTAAGCTGTATTTTTGGAATGTGGACAAAATTTATATTTCAATGGTTCTAAATATATCCTTTTTTTTTTTTTAAATGATTTTATTTATTTATTTAACACAGAGAGCGAGAGAGAGCGCGAGCACAAGTAGAGGGGAGCAGGCAGAGAGAGAGGGAGAAGCAGGCTTCCTGCAGAGCGGGGAGCCCAATGTGGGACTCGATCCCAGGACCCTGGGATCATGACCTGAGCCGAAGGCAGCCGCTTAACTGACCACCCAGGTGCCCCTAAATATATTTTTAAAGTGAAAGATGTTCTGTTTTTTTTTTTTAAGTTTGAATTCTTTGAGCAACCAATATTTTACAAAGCTATTATAAAAACAAGACTGCAATTTGAAGAACAGATCACAAACCAGTGTAGATTTGTTCCTTTTGTTTCCTGGGTTGTACTTAGAGTCACAACAACAATAACACGTGTTGTGTACTGAATGCATGCCTGAGATGCCGGGTTGAAAACAAGAAAAACTCTGTCCTCTTGAGACATAGGAGACCAAAAAAATAAAACAACTAACAGATACATGAGATGCCAGGTGTGGGAAGTACAAGGAGGCAGCTGGGGGAGGACAGTTATATCCCCTATATATCTGTCCCTTATATGTCTCTTCCACATAGGTAAAGTAAAAGGGTTTGACGGTATTTTCATTCTTTAAATTTTTTGTTCAACTACAGAAGTAATACGTTTTCATTGTAAGAAATTCAAAAAAGCACAGAAATATATAGACTCAACATGGCAAGTTCCTGTTTATACTCCTCCCTGACCACTACTTTCCCCTGGAGGGAAAAAGTTTGGAGTTTACCTGTCCACACTTTTTCATATTAACGAAAATGTGAACACACAAACATGAGTTTCTAAAAACATAAATAGAATGACATTATGTTTGCTTTTTGTTTATATCTTGGAGCTCTTTTTTTTTTTTAAATCAAAACAGGAACGTTTAGATCTACTTGTAACTCTTAATGCTGCCCAATATTCCATAGTATGACTGACCTGTTCTCTGTTGCCCGAATTTAGATCATTTCGTTTGCCAATATTATAAATCCTGTTTTGAGATATTATAAACAATACTATGTCCATATGTCTATTTTTTAAAACTCTGATATTTATATTAACACATTCCTAATTTGTTTGAAGGTAACATACAACCAGTGTCAGATTTGTTTTTGATCCCTGTATAATAAAAGCCTAACACTTTTTCTTAAGTTATTACTCCTTTTTCATAACTTATATGTTATACATGTTCAAATATAATGAGCTATATAATATATAAAAAGTCCAATATGAAGGGAAAAAAGACCTTTTGAATTGCTTATAATCCTCCTCCATAAGGATAATCACTGTTAATTATATTTATACTCTTAAGACTTTTTTATATGCTCTCGCTCCTTTGTAGACAGTTTTTGTGGCTTACCACTTTGTCTATTGAAATGCTTTAAAATTATAATTTGAGCTGAAACCTATTGTTTCTCATAAGAAGGCTGCACTCCCATTTCTATATGTTAGGTTGGTTTTATTCTTATTGTAACCGAGCACTTTTTCACTTTGAGTGATTGGGCCTTTCACACGGTTGGCAGTTTGGAGTGTTGCCGGACTAATCCTAGAATCCATCTCAGTGCATCTTGCGTCTTGCATGACCTCAGTCTTCTGGACCTCCAGCACCTTTGAAAATACTAATTCATGATATAGTCTCTTCATTTACTGTATTTGTAAAATTTATTTGTGAAAAATAATGGTCTTTAATGTTTTGTCTGTCTGCCTTTTGGAATGCATTTTGCATGTCTTGAATTTCTGGAAAAGTTCAAAACATGTTTAAATTTGCTGTTTAGAAATCCTTTGTCAATTGCATTAATGTTAAACCAAGTACTACAAGATCTCTCAATTTTGAAATGTATGTGTTAGCATAATACAATTCAGTTAATCATAATCATGAGTAATTATATTACATGTTAAAAATCATAAAAGATTCCAACCATCTATATATATTTGCCAACCTCATTAAAAAATCTGAAATAATATTTGTATTTATAGTCAAATGTTGAAGCTGTCATTCTCAAATAAAACTTCACGGTAAGAATGGCTTCTTATTTATAAATAGCTGGCCTACTGTGACGGTTTGAATATACTTCAATTCTACTTACGTGTTAGAAGTGTTCCTAGAAAAGTCCACTGAATAGGCACTTGTATGTTATTATGTTCCATGTTAATTTCAAAAATGCATTCCCTTCAAAAAATTTTTAGGTAACAATTAGGAATCTTTAACGAGGAGTTCTTTTTCTGAATAGGTAGTTAAATTTCTCATGCTGCCGTCAAAACTTACAGAGTTAGTGACATGCAATCTTTTTCAAGTGCAAAGAAAGTAAATTATATAATTTGTTCTCATTGCATTAAAAATAATCAGTGGCTGAAGGCTTTAAAAACTAGTTTACTCGAGGAGTGATAATGCTTTTTTTCTGTTGAAGAACAGTGCTTCCAGAAAAATCATTGGAGAGTCACATAAAGTTTAAAAACTATGTAAATAAGTTTGAATGTTTTACTTGAGAAGGGATTATAAAATGTTGTTATATGATTTTTAAATTGAGCTAGGAAATTAAGATTGGAAGAGCGTAATTTAAATAATATACGAATAACTACACAAGACTAGGAAGAAAGCAGGTGATATACCCACGGCAAGGAGGGGATAAACAGGGACAGTAAAAGGATCATTGGTCTTTCCTTTTACCACTGAATCTATTTTGGCAAATAATTCTGTTCCCGCACCATCTCTTAGCTGTGTATATCCTTGACATACAATAATAAGGTGATTTTTAAGTTGTCTCCAAGTTTCTCATACTGATAAATTTAACATTTCTTTACAAATATCTTAATGCCAACTAAATGATGAAATAAAATGCGGATTAATTTGATTTCTCTCCTTGTCCACCAACATTTTAACCTTTATTTTCTGTGGTAACTGCCTTGGAGAAAAGTGATTTTCTTTAATGGAGAAAGGTTGTTGCCTTGGGTCCTTGAAGCTCTTCCTGCTGGAGGCCCATAGAAACCTGTAGAACCTTCCCCTCACCTTAGGCAAGAGTAATGGCTGGCCTACTGGGCATTAAAGACCTTGCCACAGCCCAAATGAACAAACTGGGATTTGGGATTTTGAACAGAATTTTCTCAGCTGTTTTAAGCACACTGACAGTTCCTTTAATGTGGGAATTTTGGAAACAACTTGTCTTACCTGTTTTGTTATGAGAGCTTTAGTTTTAGACAATATATTCATTAGTAGTTACTGATACTTTAGTATTATTTATATATTAAATACACTAAACATATAAATATGTATTTAGTAGTATTATTTCAGTTTTCTGAAGTAGTAATTAATTCTCTTTTAATTAGTAGCCACAAAGGGGTTTCCAAATGCCTCCAAGAACCATTTTGGTAATTTCAAGATTTAGATATGAAATTAAGATCATAACTAGTCTTCTAAAGCACAGCACTTGATCAATAAATGACTAGCTGAAGGGAAAAAAAAAACCACTCAGTTTTGATTCCAAGTGTCAAAGAAGTTACCTTTACAATACCTTATAATACTTACAGGTACTTTACAATATAGTATTTACAACACTTATGTCCTTTACAATACAAAACTACATACATATACATTGTTAACACATATACCAATATTTCAGTACTGTAAAGTAAGTTGACTTCTTGTTTTACTAAGATCTTGCCATCTAAAATGGAAACTGCTATGAGAAAAAAGGAGGATAATTAACTTTATAAGCAAATGATTAAAGTAGAAAAAAATTAACCTCCTGTGAGGGGCACTGTAAATATGTATATTTTTAAGTTTAAAGGCAGTAGTAGCAAAAGAACGATGATGTCAAATCCAGTCATTATTCTAGAAAAATAATTCTCTGGGGTCTGTCTTTCTCCAGATATAATTTTTTTATCATCTTATATCCCGTCGGAGTTGTTGGTGAACTTCTTACAATATATGCTGCCTTACCATATGTGAAGAAGACGGGCATGTTTTCGATAAGACTTCCTAATAAATACAATGTCTCTTTTGACTACTACTATTTTCTTCTTATAACCATGGCCTCATATATACCATGTAAGTATACGGTCATTAGTACTTTGATTAAGCATATGCTGCGAATGTTTCGTGAAGTATCATGATACGCTAGTGTAATAAACAATGAGACATGATGGCTTACAAATACATCAAAACCTCTGTTCAACCCCACGTGTAGTCATAATTTTAAATAATGGAAGAGTTGAGTGAGTCAAAAAGGACTCTTTCCTAGTTATAAGGAAAAAGGTAAGTAAATCAATACACAAATGATTGCTTTCTCAGAATCATTTAGAGAGAAGCTGAATCTGACTTTTTTTTTTTTTTTAAAGAAAAGATAGAACACACATCAGTGAACTGTTTGCCAGCATTTAGTTATTTATCTGAAGATAAACATTTTGTCCCTAGAAAATGTCAGGTCAGTTCTGTCTAATCCTTGAGCATACACTTGGAAAAGTTATTTAGGAGTACTTTTTAGTCTTGTGTGTGTTGCTCGATATAGTAGAAAATAATGAGGCTGCTTTTCTTAAAATATTTTGAAAAACTCAGCCTCTTCACTAATTTCTCATCACCTTTCAGTAGTTGCTGTGAATTGGTGAAGTTTTACTCATTTCACTTAAATGGCAGTAGTGGTAGGTTTTTAGGTCAAATTTTGATAGTCACTAGCAGGGAATGTGAAAGTAAAGCAAGACTCTTCTTTACCCTTCTCGATAAAATTAGAGGCTCTGGTGTCAGTGAGGGAACAAAGGAAATAAGAAAAGCTTATAGCATCTAAAATCTGCATTGACGTGATATTTAAATAAAACGTAAAAAAAATATTTTATTTTTTTTGAGCATAAAACCTGGCTAGTCCCTTGAGGCCTCCAACTTCTAAACTTTTTCAAAATCAAAACTGACCTGAGAGTCAGGCTGTTGCCCTTTCCCTCATCTGCTGCCATTTCAGCCTGACTCTCATCAGATTGCCCCCAGGAGGGGGCATGGTCAGGAGGGCCCAGGGGTTGGTCACCTGCAGCACCGTCCACCTCCCCAGCCATGTCTGGAGCAGAGCTAGAGCTCGCTTCTGTTCATATCACAGTTAGAGGTTTGGGGATTGGCTTCCCCTCTTCCTTACGACTAGTGCGGCATCTCCACGGAAACCCAGGGCCCAGCAGGTCATGGCTTGAAAGCATCAAACAGTAACTGTTGGCTGGGTGTTTTCAGGTGTCCTGGGAGATGCAGACTCTGGCCTGTGTCAGCGGCAGCTTCTCAGTTCACCCTGCTGACCGCTTCATGAGGGTCCCACTTGCTGGAGCAGTCCACCAGGGGGATGTTTTCCACTTGATTATTAATATTAGCAGTCATACAACTAGTTGTATTTTGTTTATTAAATTGTGTGTTAATTAAAGGTATTAAACAGTACTCTGAGTACTTTAGCACTCAGAAGAAGTGCTGGTAGTTTTCAATAATGACATCACAGATTAAGAGGGCATTTCAAGGAGGATGTTATAGGCATCGCTTAAAAATCACCCAGCTAGGGCACCTGGGTAGCTCAGTTGGTTGGGCGACTGCCTTCGGCTCAGGTCATGATCCTGGAGTCCCGGGATCGAGTCCTGCATCGGGCTCCCTGCTCGGCAAGGAGTCTGCTTCTCCCTCTGACCCTCCTCCCTCTCATGCTCTCTGTCTCTCATTCTCTCTGTCTCAAATAAATAAATAAAATCTTAAAAAAAAAAAAAAATCACCCAGCTAGTAAATAAGGCTAGTATTTGAACTCAAGCCCATACTTCTGCTACACTACTCAGAATGTTCTAGACGTATTTTCAATAATCAATCAGTTAGCATTAAGTGTATTTTACCTGAGTATATTTAGACCCCTGGGTATGGTATGATTACATTTATCAGGATGGGCAGTACCTAAATTTAAAAAAATAAATAAACTCTGTTGTGCATTTTTGCTCCATTTGGGTTAAGTTCTAAAAATGGTTCACCAAAGTTGCCTAAGCAAGATATTCAGAGCTTTTTTTTTTTTTTTTGTCATTAGGTTACTTGGTTTTAATCGTTCTGTCCATCAGTCTCAGAAATATTTTTACATTTGTATTGTTTATAGCTGATGTTAATTTGTTCATCCTCTAGCTCTGACACTATAAAGCACTATAATTTGAGCAAATTTGAGAGGGGCTCCTGCTCTGGGCTCTGTTTTAGAGGGCCCTATTCTGGCCCTCCACTGATCCTGATCACTCCTCCACACAGGCCCTCCCCTCCCTTCTAGACCACATTCTAGAAACCTGAGACCCTGGAATTTGTTGCCCACAAGGCACTGAGTGTGCATCTAGGGACTGCACGGATAGACGTCTTCCCTGTTCTGTTCTCCTAAGGGGTAAACCATGTCACTGGTATACACATCCCTGAGATCAAGGGGTAGCCAAGGGGCAGCTCTTTGTGAAGGGTATGGATGAAGCTGGATTGTGTGGGTTTAGATACCCACATATGTTCATGAGACCCCTTACGGTACAGGACAGCTGATGGACCCAAGAAATGGCGGCCAGGCAGGGCAGTCTTCCTTGTGCTGGAACATTCTGGCACAGCATCCCAGGTCATTATGAAGGTATATTTATCAAGATACTTAACTTTGCTAAAGAATCCCCAGCATTACAGGCATACCTCGGAGATATTGCAGGTTCAGTTTGGACCACTAAAGCTAAAATTGCAATAAAGTGAGTCCAACGAATCTTTTTGGTCTCCCAGTGCATATAAAAGTTATGTTTACATTATCCTGTAGTCTGTTAAGTGTGCACACCTTAATTAAAAAATACTTCATTGCTAATAAATGCTCACCACCATCAGAGTTTTCAGCGAGTCATTACCACTGATCACAGATCACCATGACCAGTACAATAATAATAATGGAAAAGGTTGCAATATTGTGAGAATTCCCAAAATGTGACACAGAGACACGAAGTGAGCACCTGCTGTTGGAAAGACGGTGCCAGGAGACTTGCTCAAGGCAGGGTTACCACAGACCTTCAATTTGTGAAAACCACCATAAAAGGAGGCGAGCCTGGAAACTGCAGAGGCCGATGGTGTGTGGGCCTCGGCCTGCGCTCTCAGCCTGAGCTCTGTTGGGGGGGCAGGGGGGAGGTAGGAGAGGTGGGGCTGGGCAGCGGCGGGGGATGCTGTGCTTGCCCTCAGAGTGTGTACATGTGAGAGGTTTCAAGTATAAGGTCAACAGCATCCTCCTTTGTTTTCTTTTTTCCATTAGTGTTCCCACAACTGTATTTTCATATGTTACGCCAAAGAAGAAAGGTGCTTCACGGAGAGGTGATTGTAGAAAAGGATGATTAAATGATGCCCGTTAACAAGGTGCTTTTTCCAGAATAACCAGGATTACTTGAGTCCAAGTTTTAATAACAAGAATAAACAACTTTATGAAATACTACAGATTGTATGATTTCTTAGAAATATAACGTGACATGCGGTATTTGCCAATATTTGTCTTCACATTTTCTATAAGAATTATGCACGTATTTATTACCAACTCCTGGGTGGGTGATGATCATTAAGAAAATAATGGGAAAAAAACCTTTTTTTAAAAAAAATTTTACTAATTTTTTTTTTGCAGTGTATGCTCCAAGGTTTTTAAATCAATATTTACAAATTAGTTTAATGATTTAACATTATGATACTTGCCAGTGGTATTTATGTGATATTTATAAATGAAAGTAAATGCAGAATTATAATAACATGTTAATGATGTATTGGTATTTCCTGAACCCAAGATCTGTTTCTTAAAAGTTGTAAGGCAGCATTTTTGATTAATAATCATTTTGGAAAACATAGACGTAATTTGCTTTGATAGGACTTTTGATAAAGTAGATATCACAATTGGAAGATATTCTTTGCATATATGATTAGGCTGTTAAAATTACATATACCGCTAAGCAAATTTGTTTTTATTTGAATTAACCTTCAAGGACAACCTTTTCAACTGTAAGGATTTTAAGGGATTAGAAAGAATGTAAGTGTATACTTTGCCTCACTTGTGAAAAAAGAATAACATTGGGTCTGATCATAATGTTATAGTCAGAACTCTGGCTGAGAAAGGCTTCTCTATACCTCTATACCTGGAATCATCTAATAAAAATCATGTTTTGATAATCCCCTTGTGGGACTTAGGTAATGAAAAGTTTTGGGGTGTGACCTAACAGACTCATTTTATTCTGAATTCCATTGAATTTCAAGCAAGAAGTCTTATAATAAACCTCCTGTCCATGTGTTTAGTAGATAGACTGAAGATACTTCAGTACTGCTTTAATTCTTAAGTAGGCCCTTTAATTATTTTTCCCGTTACATTAAGGTATGCTGCCTACTGACCCAGTTTAGAGAGAATATTAGATGTGTGACTTTAAAAGAAAAGGATTTTTTTTTTTTTTTTGCCTACTACAGATATGGAGGTAGAATTTTGGTTTTCAGTGTTCTGTACTGTTTGTGCTTGCAATCAACATGTAACATTACACTTTTCCAAACTGTTTTGTTTTGTGGTACCACCTTCTCAGTTTTCTTCATGTGGAGATTTGCAGTTCAGAATAGTTTTGCAAACTTTCATTTTAGATAACGTGATTTTTAAAAGGTGCTATTTCCTTTATTACATTTTAATATTTCTCTGCAGCTGAATGCTTTAACGAGCACTGTGTATTCTATGTATGAGGTTACTAATTCTCAAAATGCAAATGTTCATTCTGCCTTTACACTACTTGATCCGTTTTTATCTTGAATTTTTATATGGAAGAAATTTCCGGGGAGTTTTTCCCTTTGGTGCCATAGCATAAGAAGCTCATGTACATCTTGATCCTGTCAGATGCCTGTCTTACGAAAAATATTTTAAATGCTGTTCCTAAAACGTGTGTTCATTCAACCTGTACTCCCTTCAAGCAGCTGTAATAACTCTTTTTCTCCTTTAGTTGTGGAATATCCTGAGGTAGGAATTGTGATTAACTTTAATAAAAATGAAAATGCATCAAACTATTATTTAGTGACCTTTGTTAGCATAGTATCCCTAAACTTTAGATTTAGTTTATCTTCAGTTATCCTCGATATTCAACTAATTCTAAACTGTCCCTTGGGTAAAAAATAAAGTGCTTAAATGAGAGTTTGATTTGAAAGAGAAAGTATTTGAAATTCCTTTGCACTTGTTTTCTGCGCCTGCATCTTTTGAAATTCTCCTGAAGTCGCCCTAACTCTCCTTTTTCAGTAGGCAAACCAGGACATGAATCAAAGACAACTTCCATTCAATCCTGTAGACCTTGGCATTTGAAAAACATATATCAAGAAATTGTGATACTAGCAACTTTCAATTATATTTGGTGACATTCCACAAAATTCTGGTTGTTTTTCATAGCTTTAAAGATTGATATACAATATGTACAGTGCGTGCAAGTCTTTTTTTTCTTTTGTTTTTCATAGCCTTAACTTGATACTAATACAACACCAACAACCCTGTTATAACTTAATTTTTTTAGAAGTATGCCAAAATAAAGTCATTTTCACCAAAAGCGTTTATTGCTTAACCTCTGTAGACTCTCAGGAGCATTATTGTCTCATCTTTGGATTTGTAAGCATCTATTTGGTATGCCACTGTCTTGTGGTTTCTGATGAGACATGGCAAGTGATATGGAACCATACAATAACCCGCACCCCCCAAGTATTTATTTTGTGCCAACTGTGTGCCGAGGACTGTTGAAGGGAACTGGCATCTTTTTCCTATCATACCTCTCTCCACCCTACACAGTAAGACCCCTGACACGATTGTTAGGTTGGATTGGCTAGGAAATCACATTGCAAAATAATTATAAAATATCATGGATTGGTAATCCGATGTGGCAGGATTTTTTTGTTACTTGTGTATACAAGTGTATCAGTGCCACTAAATAACATTCTGGTTTAAAACTTTTCAAATACACTCAAAATCAATCACAGAAACAAAACTGATAAAATAAATCATTAAGGCACAAGGAAAGGAAGGAAATAACTGTAAGAAAAAATAGCTATAGAAATCAGCATTTGAAATATTGTTCAAATGAATGTGTAAAACGTAGAAGTATTTTCCATTAACCTATATAGTGATCTGGAATAGACATATAACTGATAGAAGAAAAAAATAACAGTTTTGTAATTTCTAGCGTGAAGGCATTGAATGGAATTGAAAATTCAGTTTGTTCATGTTTTTAGTCTAGATTTACAAAACAAGTAGACTTAAGTAGTTCCTCTAGATATGAAGCTTAAACATTCTAAAATTTTTAGATTTTTTTGTTTAGTGTTCCTATTGACAGCTTTAAAAATATTTTTAACATTTTTTGTTTTGAAATAATTTTGAACTTAATAGGAAAGTTGCAAGAATGCTAGATAGTCTTCCCTTGAATTCCCCACCCCTAACACTTTGCCCCATTTGATGTAGTATTCCTTCTCTGTCTCTCCCTCTCTCTCTGTGTATTTTGTGAACCATTTGAGAGTAAGTTGAAAACATTCACTTGTGATGGCTCCACTATATATTTCCTAAGAACAAGGACATCCTCGTACACAGCCACAGTACAATGACCCAAATCAGGAAACTCATGTTGATACAGTACCTTTCTCTAGACTCTGGGCCTCACACAAACCTCCTCAGCAGGGTGTTGGGAACAAACCACATCCATGTTCCCAGACCAGACACAGTCCTGGTTCAGATGTTACAGTTCCAGTCTAGAGTGGCTCCCTGATTTTTCTTCATGCTTCATGACTTTGACATTTCCAACAGTATAGGGGAGTTCCTTTGTAGAAAGTCTCTCAATTTGGGTTTGTTTGATGTTTCCTCATGATTAGATTTTATTTATGCACTCTTCAGCAGGATTTTTGATTTGTTCCATTTACTGGTGATATTAACTTGGATGTGTTAGGGTTTCTGTTTTTTTAATACTTTGGTGACAGGGTAACATGCAGGTATTTTAGTAATAGAAGGCCTGTTGGTCTAGTTCTTTGGAGTTGGTATTTGAAATCAGGCACTGGGATTTTTTCTTTTTTTTACCTGATTAATATGCTTGTCCTCTGATACATGAAGATTGATATCTTTTTAAGTGCTTAAAAAGTACTAAACTTTTTACACATGCAATTTCCAGGCGTATTACTAAATCACCTTTATATTGACTTTTATGCCCCTAGACTATAAATCTCTGTGAGTAATTAATGTACTTTGGTTTTGCTTAAAATTTCTTAAACACAGCATTCTGTTCTATGCTGTTTTATCCTCTTACCATGTTATTCTGCTACACTAAAATGCTAAATAACACAAGATTGAGATTTCTGTAACATTTAGTTTTATTTCTTGATTTTGTACAAATGCAGTTTGTACAGTTTGAAAATTAAAAATTATCCTTAAATCCACTTAATGCTTTGTGGTTTTACTTTGAGGATAGGGACAGCAGAAAAATGGTTTTCAGAGCATAGCTTTTAGAAGAGTCAACTGAGATCCCAGACTCCTCCTCGCCTCCCGAGAGAGGGTACACCAGCAGCCATGGGGCCGAGAAGTCTGCATTTTTAGCAAGATGTGAGGCAGGTCTGGTGCAGACAATTTAGTTATTGAATCACCTTGGAGGAACAGTACAGTAGGCGAGTATCAGCGGGTGGAGGGAGAGGACTTCTTACAAATGCCCTATCAGTGTACTTCATATCACTGAAAACAACATTCCTGTGTCATTCTGTATTGTCTCTAATCAAAATGAACACCATAGTTGGAAGTTTATACAAATGAAAAACTTGAGCTCGCGTAGTCTGAAGAAGTAAGACATTCCATTTTTTTTAAGCATATATTATTTTATCACCATACAATTGCCCTATCCATGTGCTGATGTAGTACATATAGAACATGACAGGTAACGGTGGTAACATCCAGAGTAGCAGGTGTTTTGTTGTGATGAATTTAATGATAGGAGATACATGGACATCATCATAGTTAGAAACTAGGTTAAAAGATTTCAGTTTAGTGGTATTGTTAATTGAAGAGAACTTCTAGTCTCACATACACACAAAGGAATATATTCAAGATTGTGGAAAATGTATATGTTCCTATTTTTGAGAAATATGCATGACAGAAAGTAATCATAATTTGCCTGAATGATTTGTAATTCAATCATCAGTTGACTAAAATAGGTTTGTATCTAAATTAAAATGTTCAGAACCTGGTTTTTATTGAGTTAAACTTTAACTGAACTTCATTAGAACCCTTGCAACAGAAATTAATCTTAAGAACTGAGGAAGGGGAAAGATTAATTTACAGCAAGTGTACTCAAAAAAATGACTTTTGAATGGTTTTCAGCTGGGTGAATGTAGAC